TTTTTTTTTTATCTATTATGCATGTTTCTATTTTTTCCAACTGCCTTTCTTTTGTACACATTCGAATTTTTTTATCCCAAGGAGGAAGGTGCCAAAAGGGTGTAAAAAAAATAAAAAAAGGTAAAATTGGACTACCTATTGGAAATTACCTGCTATATATAAACGTACACATAGCTAACATATCGTTATTTATCGCTTTACAATTTTTTTTTTTAGTTTCCAAGAGGAATTTCTAAATCTTAATTACTCCCATTGGGTAGCAATTGCAGTCTGTAAAACTATTTGGGAGGCAGTGCAATCGCAGACACAAGTGCAAATCTTTCGCAGCAGCAGTAAATTTAGCCATTCGCAATGTATGACAGTATTAACTGACAATCTCATTTAGCATTGGCACACAATGTTGCCAAATAGGAAAAACAGACAATCGAAGCAAATAAAAGTATGATACACATTTGTACGTAAAAAATATTCCCTGTTATTTTTAACCGATCGCACACTTCCAGACAGAACAAGATGTAGGCAAGCAGGTGCACAATGACAAGTTGTATGGACAATGTAAAAAAAAAAAAAAAAAGAAAAAATCAGAGAAAGATAAGGTAAATAATAAGTAACACATAATTCCTTTTTTATACACAAAATAACGATGTAGCAGTTTTGCTAATAACAACGATTAGTGCGCCACTGCGTGATTTTAACAATTTTACAAAATTGAGCATGCTGCCATTTTGATTGTCTTATCATACTTGCTGAGAGTTTCGCTGTAGAATGTTCGGTATTTTATTGTCATACACTCGCCTGTTCAGGCTGATTAAATTCGCTCCAGTTGTTGAGGGCCCAATTAGGTTTTTCCTGGCACGCGGCGTGACACAATGATTACAGGATGATAACGTGTTGATTGCGCTTTGCGCGCGGTTTTCTTCAAATGTAGTACCAGATAAATGGCTACCCCAGCGGAAACCTCTTTCCCTGCACCCATGTTTACAAAATCGTGTCATGGAAAAATGACTATTCCATATTTTCCCCATTTGACACATTTTAGGGAATTTTTTTTCCTTTTTTACTTTTTTCCTTGATCATTTCGCCGCACCAACAACTTTTACTCCCACCTTCTGAACATAACATTGGAAAGAACCGAAAATTGGGAGGCACGACGGGGGTCAACTTATCGTGACCTCCCAGTCGCCGTAATACTTAATTTGCTTTTTTCAATTTTTCTTATTTTTACGTGCGAAGCTTTTGCTGAAGTTTTCACTTGTCGTTGCCGTGTTGTTGGTCATGACAAGGAATTTTACTATACTAAAAAAAAAAAAAAAAAAACAAAATTAATTAATTAAAGCTGATAGGAGGAAACTACCAGAGGGGCAGGGGAAATCCATGCTGTGTATTTACATATGTGTGCACATCATTTTGAGGCAAATGTGAGACTCCCGTGTCTGGCAATGAGCCATGGGCATGTGGGAGGGGCTGCCCCTTTCACTGATCAGTGTATAAAAAAAAAACCAAAAGAAATGGGGCAAGGAAAACAGCAAATTGTAGAAGCAAAATAAAGTGGCAACATAAAATCGCCAAGGCGAATCGATTAACACAAAAACTGAGGTGAGACGCATATTACCACATATTTACCCTACCATGTGTCTTTTTTTTTTTTTTTTGGTGCAAGACACCTACACCAAGTGATTTGCGCGAACAGTTGGAAAAATTTCATGCTTAGGATAGGTGCACACATGGCACAATGGGGTTGAAGGGATAGTAGGCACTAACCTGACGTATGTGCGCGTTTCCTTCCCCCCTAAACATTATCAAACACGACATTTGTTGTATTCTCCTCTATTTCTGTTAACTTGTTCGTAAAAAGTTCAACCATCATGGATATCTGCTCGTTGACATCGTCATACATCTTTTGGTGATGATAACATCGTAGCAATTTAAACGCTTGTGCATTATTATAATATTTTTTTGTTAGGGGGTCAAAATATTTGCCCTCTAAATTGGTGATTGCACATAGGTTATTTTTATTTCTCACTCCTTCCAGATATTCCTTACAATTGTTATAATTGCTGTACATATTTAGCTCGTTCGAATCGGTGACAATATATATTTGTCTCTCCTCCCTGTCCGTTTTAAGTTTTTTCCTCTTTCTTGTTACCGTTGTAACGTTATCACCTACGGTTTTCCTATTATCCTTTGTGTGCGTTCCAAAATTTATTTCATCATTTTCGTTTAAATATTCTATGTGTAAATCTTCGCACTGATCCAGATTATCCAGATTTTCCAAATTGTGCAACTGAATAGGCTGCATTGGTTTTGATTTCTCCATTTCTGTTTTGCTATTCGCATCACTATCGTCTTCGCATTCTTTTGACACCTGATTGTCTTCACTTTTTTTTCTTTTTATGCTCCCATCGCTCACATCATCAGGAACTTCTTCCCCATTGGGTGATCTATTTTCCTCCTTAACTATATCGCCTCTTACTAGGGATGCTGAATTAACTTGGTCTACATCCCTATTACTTTCTACAACGACATTGTCGCAGTTCACATAATTTTGCGCCATGCTAGTGTTACTATCGGGGGCGTTTAGGAGACCTCCACTCAGAGTGGTATTGGCCATTTGTGCTGGGTCTTGCACATAATATAAATCGAGTTCATATTTCAAATTTTCGCTCGATGGAAATGTTTTATCCTTCGAATAGGAATAACTAATAAAAGCATTTTTCGGTCTATGATAAATAATTCTCTTATTTTCAATATATTTTTTTTTCTCTTCTTCCCAGGCTTGTAACTGTAAAAGGGATTGCAAATTGTACTGCTCGGTTATTTTTGCTTCTTCTAATCGTTCCTCCCTTGTCATTTCTCTTTGTGTACTTTTCTGTTTTTTTTTTTTTTCGTATATTTTTTTAAAACGATTTTCCCTCTTAATTCTTCTCAATTCGGAGAGCTTTTGTATTTGCTCCGTTTTCTGTCTTGTTGTGTCTCTAGTAGATCTATTAAACACCACAAAGGAGCTATCAACTTTTTTTTGTTTCTTCGTCATCCCTTCGATTTTTAGCGCCTGTGTTGCTTCTTCCTCACCCTCTCCCTTTTTTTTCTTCCCCGATTTGTGTTTCACACCTTGGAGAGCAGTCCTATATTTCCCACCAGGCGCTTTCCTTCCGTAATGCTTCGCCTTCTTCATTAGCTTATGCCTTAACGCATGATTATGCGTTTGTTTTTTTAATTTTTCTAAATAGGAAAACATTTTTTTCTTCTTCCGCTTTATCTCTTCATCATCTAGTTCCTTTTCATTTCTCTCCGCTTCTTCTTCGTCGTAATCGTCCACCTCATCCTCATCGTCGTCAAAATCAGAATCAGTTACATCTATGTATTCTTCTTCTCCTTCGGAATTTACGTACTCCTCGTCTACTTCTTCTTCCTCCCAAATGCTATCATTCCAGAATTTTTCATCTTTTTCTAAGTCTTCCCCAATTAGCTTTTTCAGGTTTTTTCCTCTGTTCTTTCGCTTAGGCATTTCAAGTGCTATTCCGTAATTTTTCAGTTCGTAGTCTTCGTCCTCTTCATCCTCTTCGTTCTCTACATCATTTTGGTCTTCTTCACCGTCTTCGTCTTCTTCGTCCTCTTCGTCTTCTTCGCCGTCTTCCACGTCTTCCACGTCATCCTCGTCCCCCTCTTCACCGTCTTCTTCTTCTTCCTCCTCCTCCGCGTCTAACACATCTTCTTCACTTTCTGCTTCCGCCATCTCCTCCTCCTCTACACTGTCGATGAAGCTTTCGTCCGACTCGCCCCCTACATCTTGCCCTTTTTTTCTTCTCTTACTCCCAACGGATTTGTTCGTCCTCATTAGTTAGCGCGTATATCTAGTTTGTAACTGTAATTTTTCCTTTTTCCTCTCTGAGGGGATAGAAACTGTCTTTAATTCAAACAGAATTTTATTTCTTATTACCATGCCTCTAAACAAATTTGTGCAATTTAAAAAAAATGAGCCCTCTTTTCTTTGTTAAACTTGGAATGTCAGTTCGTTTACCCCTTAGTTGATTCATTCCTGGATACCTGTTCCTATGCATATGTTTCTTGTTCACCTTAATAATATAATAGTTTAACTTACTGTTCATTTCTATGTTGCCTTGGCACACGTACATATGGGAACAAATGTGTTTTCGCTTTACGCTATGGAAAAATTGCATAATTGTGGATTATTTGATGATTATATTGATTGTATAGCAATTTTTTTTTTTTCCTTCTTCTGTTTTCTCTCTTAAAAAATTTTTTCTTTTTTTTCCTTTCGCTCAGAATGAACAATAAAATGGCTTTACATTGGTATTTTTTTCTCGGTTTTTTTTTTTTTCCTTTGTTGCCAATAATGATCTATTATTTCGGTACTCTTTTGAAATATCCCGCTGCTCGTCCCGTGTGTGTCCGTCGTTTTTGTGCGCTCGTTCGTGAATTTATTATTCAAAAAAGTAGTAGCTTTATTTTTTCCGCTCTTTTTGCATATCTTATTCTTATTTTTCCTAGCTTCTTATTTTTAATGCATTTCGATTTCTAATGTACCCCCGCTGTGCTTCACCCTCTCCCCATATCCTGTCACACCACAAAGGTTAGCCAATAAAGCAGTCAACTGAACAGAAGCGGGGCATACAAAAAAGAAATGGGAACAAAGTTGTAAAAAAGAAGTATTATACCAAGAGGGGAACAAAGGGTAAACAAAAAAAAACCACTTTTGAATTATGCCAAAGTCGCAAGTTAATAAAATTAGGAGTATATATATATGTCAGTGCTGAAAGAGAAAAAAGTAGGGTTCAGCGAGGAATGAAAAAAATCCAGGACATTTGTTTTCTCCCTAGGGCTTGTCACGCCCCTTTTGGTGAGCTGCCATTTTAACATCTACAGTTCGTCCTATACATAGGAAAAGAAGAAAAAAATACATATGCATATTATTGTCACATCAGAGGTATACTGGCTATGCGTATTTATCTGCACCCTTCCCCGAACATGTGTATATTATGAGAATTGCAAATGTGCAAAAAAGTGGAAAGACCTACGTACAATTAGTAATAGCCCGTCTATACAGAGACAAAGGAGCCGCCGCGGAATACCCCCTCACCGGTTGGCTTCGTAAAAATGGGAAGAGAAACTACTCCATTGCGCGTCACGAACAAAGCGCATCGGGAGGAAGCAAAAAAGAAGATAGGACGTCGTGCGCGGACCACGAAAAACATATAAAGGACGCCTTCATACATACTGTGAATCGAAGCCTATCTGAAAAGACAAAACAACAAACAAACCTGCATAGCCCCACTGACGCGTGCGAAGAAGTGAGGGAAAAACGAATCAGGGAAAGCTTAAAGAAGTACAACTTATTTAATGTTTATCTTGACAAAATAGAAAAAGCAGCGAGGCAAAATAAAAGAAAACAAAAAATCATCAACATAAATAGCGTCAAACATTACGATGAATATGTTCACATGTTTGACATAGATTCGTTGCTAACTTATGCGAACAGCAAATTCAAGATATTTAAAAATAAGAGGAAATTTCCTGGGAACAAGGATTTTTTCTCACACTTCCTAAAGATACTTATACAGCTGAACGTCATTTTAAATGATTTCTTTTCACATCATGGTGAAATAAACTGTGGCAAGTATT